TTGTTTTTATTATGTTCATGGTAACCTTCCTCTGTAGGGAAGAAATCTAAACATGTAAAAACTGGAAATAAAGCATCTGACAAAATTGAAAATCTCAGTATTACATCATCATGTCTGCTAAGTCTAGATCGAAGTAGGCTATATAATAGTATGATCCAATTTTTGAGTTTATGCACACTCTTTACTATCTTAAAGTCAAAGGGCTACAATGGTTATATTTAGTTGTGAGTGCTCTTGGATAGGGTTTGATAAATCCTAAAATCAATTCCTCCATTTCCTTCGGTTTCCTTTTCTTCTCCTTCATTTTAGACTGCTGAGAAGATTAGCGAACTGGTGCATTTTTATTTCATTCCTCAGTTTTTATCTGTAAGTTACATGAATGTTCATAAACTCTAGGTAAGTAAATGTCATTTCGTTTTTTTTAAATTAATCTTCTGCTTTACTGATGATATCCTTTATTATACTCAGGTTTTACCCCTATCATTATGCACCTTTTGCTTCTGACCTGAAGGGTTTGAGTCAGTTGGAAATTAGCTTCGAACTTGGTTCACCTTTTAAACCATTCAGTCAGTTAATGGGTGTTTTTCCTGCTGCAAGGTGACATTTGATAATTTTCTTTTGATACACACGCACACATGTGCATTGATTACTAATTAGTTGGGGCATTTGCAGTTCCCATGCACTTCCTATCCATTACAGGAAATTGATGACCGATCCAAACTCGCCTATTATTGATTTCTATCCAACTGGTATATTTTGTAGGTCATGTGTATTGATTTTTCCTCTTATCTGCTCTTCTAGAGCCTAACTCTTTTGCTTTATTATCAGACTTTGAGGTGGACATGAATGGGAAGAGGTTTTCTTGGCAGGTAAGGTTTTCTTACTTCCTGCATGTAGAGGTTCTTTCTTTTTTCATGATCATTTGATTGAGTTGTTACTCTTTAACTTGAAGGGTATTGCGAAACTGCCTTTTATTGACAAGGGTCGCCTACTTGATGAGATCAAAAAATTAGAGCATACTTTAACAGTATGTTACTTATCCAGTGATCTAACTGCAAGCACGTACTTTATAACGTTCTCAAATTTCACTGCCTAAACCATTTTGCATTCGATACAGGAAGAAGAGGCACGGCGAAACAGTGTGTTGTTTGACATGCTTTTTATTAACTTATGTCACCCTCTTTCGCCTTGTATATTTTCTCTCAACAACCAATTCTCGCAACTTTCAGACAAAGAAAGAGACAACATTAAAGTGAAAATCGATCCTGTTTCCAGGTATGCATATCATTCTAAACCTTGTACATAATCAGAAGTGTTGCCTATGCTCTATTTTGTCTTTTGAATAGTGCTTCATGCAGTCTAATTGGAATAAATCTCATGATCACTTTTGCATTGATTGATAAAATCAGCGTCGTATCCTTAATCTGCACCAAATTCTCTCCAATTAAGTTAACATCATTTAGTTCTTAGCCTCTTCGTATTAATCCTTCTCTTCCATCCCTTTATACAAATGTGTATACCATCGGTCTGTTGTGTGGTCAAGCTCTCTCCTAGCTCGCGTGTGTATAGAGGAGGAATAATACCACGCATACATATTGTAGCCTATCTATAAAATGTCGTAAGAAATGATTACTCCCATTGAAAGAACTATAGGAAGGGAAAGTACTAAGTTAAAACATTTCTCTTAAACTAACGGTGGGTCAACAATTGAGCGTCTGGTTAAGAAGTACAAATTTTGAAAAATTGTCTGCTGGTGAGATGGATAGAAAACTTCAAACCTAATGAGCTCAATGACAGCATAGGAATCCTTAACATAATAGAGAAAAAACCAATCACCAGGAGATTGATGGTGTAGGATAGAAATCCAGGCACAACGTTAGACATAGTAGTGACGAGATAAGGGATGAAAAATAATAATTTTTGGACATCAACAAAGAATACTCAGGGGTTGATGTCATGGTCTTGGAGAGTAATCTCATTGAGAATAATGGAACAGGCTGTATCTAGAGATTGGATAGGAAAATAAGGGGCTTTTCTAAGTGGCATTAATGTTGAGAAGAAGCCTGACTTGAGAGGCTGAAGGGTGGGTGAGAGGGTGTTCCGTTGCACAGCAATGGTGACAAGCTGGATGGTAGAGGCTGAGAGATGTGAGAACGGAGCTTCTCATAACTTTTTAGTTGTCAAGGGGGAATACGCGTAGGTGATGCTTCCGTTGAAGCCCCTTGGTGGCATCAATGTTATAGGAAGAAGTTGAGTCCTTTAGGTTAGGAATTTGGTTCTGGTTCCATGCTAAGAATTGAAAACAAAATCTCTAGTTTTGATTAAATTGGACAGGACAAGATTCTCCTTTTAATTTAGGTTAGGAATTTGGTTCTGGTTCCATGCTCGTAACTTTTTTTTCGCTTTTTGCTGCATTCTTGCTGCCTATTTGTGTTGTATGGTCCACTGATGTAAACAAATGTGCTGAACTGAAGTGCAAATTGTTTACTTTTTTGTATGCTTCTAATTTTACTTATGTGGAGTGGAGGGGGGGTTGAACGGATATCTATCCCTTTGTAATGGGGATCCATGTCCCCCAGTTTTTAGATCTCCTGTCGAGGGAATGAAAGATATAATGGACAATCAAGTCATGTAAGTTAGTTATGTAGTCTTTTATGTGCAGCAAGGTCGCTTTCATTCAAAGCAATTTATTAGTAATTTTACCTTTTTCAGATGTTCTATATACAAACTCCCGGATGCACATAAGCACTTTGCTCGGCCGCTTCCAGGGGTTATCTTCCCAGAAAAGGTATGCATCATGCTGAAAATTTAGGAATACCCTTTGCTTGTTTTGAATTGACACTTACCTTTTGATATACTTCTAATATACCTTTAAAGATCTTAGAAAAGTATATATACAAATATCCTCAAACTTTCGTGGTTATATCTTAGAAACTTTTTTTGGTATGCTATTATTTTTATGATTTAGGGTAAGTTAAATATCTGTAGAATCTCCAGTTTTCTCTGAGAAATTTTCTTTTTCTCCCATTCATCTATTCTTCTTTACAAATGGGAGGATCAGAGAATTACTGTTCATGCGACAGTAATTCTCTCTCCTCCCATTTGTATTATGAACCCGAACCCCAACTCCAGCTTCTCTCAGATACCCGATTCAAATTTCAAACTTCCCCCTTCTCTCGAAATCCCCACACCTCACTCTCTCTCCCCTCTCTCTCCAGAAGCAACGCCTTCTCTCGGAATCCCCCCACATCCCTCTCTCCTCTCTCTCTCCAGAAGCAACCAGAAGCAAGAAGAGGGGGGGAAATGGAGAAAAATCAAAGCAAGAAAAACCCCCTATCTCAGGCTTCTCACCCTGATCCAGAGACAAAAAAAAAACTCTCAATCCGTATGAGTTCCCCCCTCTCTTCTGCATCGTCAACGGCCTCTTCCGCCGCCTCCCCTCCCACCTCGCCGACGCCCTCTTCCGCCGCCTCCGCCACCGCCGCCTCCTCTACCCTTCCCTCCTCGAGTCCGTTCAAAACCCCAGCCCTAACTTTTTTTTATTTTATTTTGGACCTTTTTTGTTGGAGTCTGTGAAATTTATTTTGATTTTGTGCAGGGTTTTCCAGCATTGCGTTGAAGAGGTTGATCTGAGTGGGGAGACCCTAAATTTTGTTTTTTATTTATTTTGGATGAATTTTGGATGAATTTTGGACGAATTTTTAACTGAATTTTGAAAATTTTTAGTTATGAAGTATGGTTGAGATGATTATGTGTCTTTATTGTTTGCTATATGAAGGGAAAAAATAAAAATTGAGATGGGTATGTGTCTTTATTGTTTGATATATGAAGGAAAAAATCATTCCTACTCCATGAAAAAAATAATTCACTGAGCCAAAAAGAATTTGGTTTGTGATCTTCTCATAACTTCAACTGAATCTTAATGTAATTATAGATATGAAGTTTGATTGAGATGGAAATGTGTCATTATTGTTTTATATGAAGGAATAATTCGTACGTGCTCATCGAAATTCGATAACTCTAATCGAATTCTAAAGGTAAATTCAATCTCTTTAAAAGGTTTGGTTGGACTACCATTTAGTTTGGCTAAGGTTGCGAGAAGAAAAATGTAGTAGAGGAAGAGAGCTCCTTGATTCTGAACGCATGTTTGCAATTATCCATGAATGTAATTTTCTCAAGTATTCATTGATATGTGATCTAAGAGTTTATTTGCAATGTGCAGGGGTTGGGTTATTAGATATTAGATATTAGATACCACCCATAAAATTTTGTAGTCATCCAGATAAGCTTCCTAATCCTGAGTCAAGAAAACTATTTGTTAAGACTGCAAGTGCCTACAAAGTATGGATTTGATCCTTTGTAGTTTTTATATAATTGAACCACTCTTATTCATACTTTTTTGCTTCTGATTTATGTGCATTCAGAGGATGTAGAGCATACTTGCAAGTGATTATTACATTTTAAATCTCTAATTACATGATTATCTTTCAGCTCTATTTGTGGTTTGACATGAGATCCAATGTGAAGGTAATTTCTCTCTTTGTTTCTTTTTCGTAAATTTAGTATTAAAATTCATTACTCAGCATTATGTAAATAGAAAATTTTGTATATGTGTAGCTGAATTCTTGGGTATTTCCACGAGCGTTCCAGCATTCTTGGACCCCAATCTCACTCCTGCACAGCTCAAACATGGCGTCAGTTTCGGATCAGCCTCTTCAGGATATGAGAATTAACCTCCACAAGTGCAGTATGCTAATCCCCAATCTCTTATGGTTTCAAATTAATCAACATTTATTAACAAAACCATTTAATCTAGCTCTTCTCATTTTCGCCTGTAGGGTGTAATATCGATGGCCAAACAAGTAGACTACTTGAAGCATTACAAACTCCATCTGAGAAAATTATTTGGACCTGTAGAAACACAGAAGATTACTGAAGATGCTATTGTTGTGATAAGTGCAGGCACCAATGATTTCATCCAAAATTACTACTTTTACTATAACAGATCGAAATAATTCACTGAGCCACAATATGAGGACTATCTGCCCTCTCTTATTTCTGAATACATCAAGGTAGTTATTTAATTCCTCATCCTTCATTCCTACTCCGGGGAAAAAATAGGTAAATGATTTTTTTCCAGAAGTACTGATAATTTTAATATATAAAGGTTCACAACTTCAAACTTTTGGTGTAGAGCAACTCAGGCTTGATTCACACGAACTATGAATATAAGACAGATTTAGAAAAGATTTCAATGCATGGGTATATGTTTTGATTCATAAAATTAAGGGCATTCAACCAACGGTAACACATTAGAGCATAAAATTGTTACCCTTATCACAACTTCAAAGTTTTGGTGCAGTGTAAAAGAAATTAAACATATTATCTTTAACATGCTCTCATATACTGATGGTCCATTCATGAGTGTGGAATTTATAAAGTTGTACTCCGGTTGTTATAATACCATTGCAAGGTCTCTTTCATCACAATAAAACTCTAATTATGAACATTTAGCTCTGAGTTTTTAATTTTTTGTATTCTAAAGATCTTACTAAATTTCAGGAAATCAATAAATTAGGCCCGAAAAGATTCACAGTTGTCGGAGTTCCACCAATGGGATGTCTACCTGTTGTTAAGACTCTTATGAGTGCTGAAGAATGTTATGTGAAGCTCAACGATGTTGCTAACTCCTTCAACTCTAAGATTGCGAGGCAACTTCATACTCTAAGGAAGCAATTGAGTATCAAAACTCATTTCCTTGATGTATACCAAGTTTTTGAACAGGCCACTAAGCATCCCAAGAAGTTTGGTAAGTTTCAGATTTTAAATACCCTTTGAGATTCTAATACTCTGAAATATTTTGGATTATTTTTTTACTTGTGGTTATCATTTGAAATTCAATAATTAGTAGTTTGAATGTATTGCACATATGTCTGATCAGCAAACTTTTACATCACAACTCCAACATCAAAGGTTGAATATGTGCACGGGTATTTTTATCACGTACGTATATGTGGCTGACAAGGGCCTGAAATGATATAATATCATATTGGTTATGTTGATGATAGAGCCAATGTAGTATCGATGTATTAAACTTACTGCCTGTCTAGTATTGATGATATGACCCTATGACCGAAATAGGAAAGGGATACTGATGATTCAATGCAAATGTTTTTGTTAAACGTACAGGATTTACAGAGACAACAAAGGGATGTTGCGGATCAGGAACGATCGAGATAGGAGAGACATGCAAGGGCCAGACAACCTGCGATGATCCAACGAGGTTCATGTACTGGGACGCCGTCCATCCAACGCAGAAGATGTACAAGATCATCGCCGAAGAAGCAGTTCAAAACATCGGCGATGCACTCCTTTTTAAGTATCAGATTTTTCATGCGCTAGAGATTGCAGAGTTGATTGAATCTCACAATCTTAAGTATCTATCTTCTTTAATCGATAAATAATTATAAATGTTGTGTCAAGCTCATTTAGTTTTAACAAAGGTGAATCATGTCTTTGTCTTTACTTTTTCCCTTTTATTTTATTAGAAAATTAGAAAATATGAAGACTTAGATGATTTGATGAATCAATATCAAAGATGACATCTAATATGGGGGGAAAGTCTTCAAACCTGTATTAGTTACGCTTCAGAAGCCAAAGGTGGAAAAAACATTCAAAATAGTCCCCTAAAGATCAAAAACATATAAGACTATGTCAATGAAGTTAATGGGATCAAAGAAAATTCATAAGGGTATAGAAGATACTTATTTATTGATTTATACCAATTGTTCATTATCATAGACATATAGTCATTAACAGAATGGTAAATTGCTTCTCTATTCTAGGCAAGTTTTTTTTATATATAATCTCCAAGCTAATTTTTCTCTATGATGGTGAAAAACCTATAAGACTATGGGCGAGACAACCACTATGCACAGTTATGATTCGGAGATGCAATACCTCTTCAATTTCAGGTAAACCAATTACTCTATTTTACATGTAACTAATATTTTTTATGACCGGTTGATTCTGTTGTTTTGTGATGAATTATTATTCTTAGAGTGCAAATGAAATAGTAGTTATTCTGAATCTAGGAGTAGGAGCTTTCTCATTCTTTGGTCAATGCTTCCGAATAAAACCCTATTTTTTGGGTTGTACCTGGAGTGCTCAAAAGATGAGTTTGTTTCTCATAATAAAGAGTGAATTCTCTGCATTGTTGGTCTCTATCACTGAACGTCGATTAGGCCTCGGGGTCAAGATCCATTGATAATGAAAATGCTGGAAAAGTATATCTTTTCATTTAGTATCTGTTTAAGGTTCTCTATGATTAGATGTGATTGTGCAGACTCATTTCTATCCTTAAAGTAATTTATTGCAAATGAGAATTTTAGATTTATATATTTGGCTATAATCTAGAATGATTACCAGGAAGTATAAATATATATTTGTGACACTTATCAGTACAATAATTATCTTGAGATTCTTGACAATTATATGATATCTTTTTTTTCAAGAGTCTTAATGTTCCTTTTAGGCATGTTTAAATGCCTAAATGTTTCTTTTAAGGAAGGCAAGCATAGTTTGCATGCTCATTGTTTGGGTCCTTTGGGAACTTAGGTTCGTAAATATAGATTTTAGGTCCTTTGGGAACTTAGGTTCGTAAATATAGATTTTAGGTCCTTTGGGAACTTAGGTTCGTAAATATAGATTTTAGGTCCTTTGGGAACTTAGGTTCGTAAATATAGATTTTAGGTCCTTTGGGAACTTAGGTTCGTAAATATAGATTTTAGGTCCTTTGGGAACTTAGGTTCGTAAATATAGATTTTGTGTAAATTTTTGTACGATTCAAATGTAAAACTTTAGGATTGAATGACAATAAGACCTGTTTATCACTTTTATTGTGCATGCGTTAGAGTTTCCTGCTCAAGGCCTTTTTTCCCGCCTCTTTGATAATATTAAGTTTTTATTTTTTGAGTGGCAATGGTTCTATGATGTGATCAGAATCTAAATAAATTATTATTGCCGCTAATTCGGGGGAATTTTCGGTCAAAAGAAATTGTGAGAAGATTACAACAATAGAAATCAAAACTATTAACTAGAGTTAATTTCCATGACATTTGATAAAAGTATTTAAAATACTGAAAAAATTATTGTAGTAGGATTCTAAGTTGTAGATATCAGAAAGAATACTAAGGGTTTGTTATCCTTGATAATATTAGATACTTGATTAGTTCATGTTTTGATTAGTTCATTTTTTTGTTTCAGGTACTAAAAGGAAGAGACTGAAAGGAGGCAGAGAAAAGAAAACTAATGGAGAACAAAATAAATCCTATTTTTGTTGTTCCAAAACATTATATTTTGAACTAAGTTTAGTAATTATCAATAATGATTACAATAATGACTATATATTTATGCTTTGTTTTATAAGTTCAATTTCAGATCTTAGTTTTCTAGAACAGAAAGCTTTCATGTAAGACTTAATACTACTGCATGTCATATATATATATAGCTTTCATGTAAGACTTATTAGTACTGTTTGTGTGTGTGTATGTTTGTGAAATAAATATTGAATCGAACTGATGCATGCTATATAAACCTTAGAAAACTTTCTGAATTAATTTATTTTAAATGTAATTTTATACATACTAAGCTGGGTAGCATATGAGGAGATTAAGAATACTTGATTGCTTACTATGTAATTGCTTTCAAATACTTGGTATTATACAAAACATGTAAACTAATTAGTGAACATATATTGTAATTTCATTCTGAGGAAAAGCTTGAACAACTAAACAAGGAAAATTGTTCAAATGATTAATGACTATTTAACAAAATTTGCTTAACAGGTAATCGTCCGGCTTACTATCAGGAAAATTGTGTACCATTAGTAAATTTAAGGTGTCCACCAAAAGGATCGGATAACCGTGCTTTGCACGGGGTGCATACTAGTATAGGTAATGGTAGAACTGAAAATTTTCCCTCGTTATTTCTTCCTTTTGATCGATCAGTTTGTACACATGTAACTGGCTGGTACTCATCTGCTTGAAACTCATCATCGTCAAGTTGTTAACCTTTGCCAGTTTAGTTCTTGAAAGTACTTCTCTTCCTTGATGTTGTTGACGGCTAGTGTGATAGGAGTCTGAGGATTACTTTCTTTTCCATATTTTTCACATTGTACTTTTCCCAACTTGCACTACCTTTTTGTTTCTTATCTTAGAATGCAAACTGCTATATTACCAGGATATTGTTCCAGTCTATTTTTCTTTTTTATTTTAGTCACTCTATGCAACTGTCACTGCTTCATTATTGACCTGTGCGCTGAAGAAGCATTCTTCCATCTTTTGAATTGGTTTAGAGCCTTCTTATTCTACTCATGTTTCCGGCGTTCCTGCTGGGAACATGGTATAGGTGGCTATAAACATCTGAAGGGCTCCTCTTCCTGCTACTTCTATCTCCAGCTTTATACTACATTTCATGCTTTCTGTAGTTTTTCGGACCATGAAGTATATAGATAATTGGTTTGTGGTATTGATAATGCAAGCTCAAATTTTTTTTCTATGTTCATCATAGCATAGATGTAGTTATTCTGAATGTGCTATAGATCTTTCACTGAGGTGGGCAATATCAAATTTCTCACATCGTTCATTGGTTTACATGAGTCCTCACTTCTCTCTCTCTCTCTCTCTCATGTTTCTTTTGTAGACTGTTACCAGTGGTGATTTGAAGCTCCCGTCAGTTTTGTGGTGTTGGGCGCAGAGCCACGCCCGCCGCCGCGGAAGCGATATCACCTGAGAGAGAGTCCTGACTATTGTTGTCACAAAAGCACAAGTCAACCTCTATATTCTTGTTTCTCAAAGGAAACGAGAATAGATAGTGAAATTCTTATTTCTCAAAGGAAACAAGAATCGAAAGTGGTATATTTCATCAAAGTAAAATATACACTCTTCCTCTCATCAGCTCTAAGACCGAATATTGAGGGAACCTACAAGCTATGACAACTCACAGATAAGACAAATACAGACACGAGATTTACGTGGTTCGGCTAACTATCCTACGTCCACGGGAGGGGGTTTTCACTATGAGAAGAATACCAAACTTATTACAAGTTTTATCTCAACTCTCTCTTTTCTCTCAAAAGAACTCCAATACAAAACCCACAATTGATTTTTCCCCACACCATAACTCCTCCACCCTTTCTCTATTTATAGGAAACCAAGAGGAGGGGGAGCAGAAGAATTGGCGAGAGAAGAGACGCAGGAAAAAGGAGCGCGCGCGGGAAGCAAAAGAAAAAAAAAGGCGCGTGGGCACCTTTGCGTGCGCGCGCACGAAGGAGACGGGCGGCGGCCCACGTGGGTGGGCCCCCCTGTCCCCCACTCATAATTCTCCACCTCGTACATCATTTGATAAACCTTAAATTTTGGACGAACACCAGAAGAACCCCACAAACTCCACCAGAGAGATCCAGGCCAGAACCAGGTCAAACCTGCTGCGTCACTATACTGCGACTGCCTACGTACCCTCCACCGGGATCAAGCTAACCGTAGTTCTGCAATTATTCTCCAACATAGTCTCCACCTCACCTCCATCATCGCCCCGTAGGGTCATGCCCTTTTGGGCAAATCAACACGGGCTGATATAAAGCAAGTCCAAGCAATGCTGGAACTTGCTGCCTGTGATCACCTTGGTTAACATGTCCGCGGGATTCTTATTCGTATGCACCTTCATGAGAGAAATATCACCATCCTCTATGACATCCCGCACAAAATGATATCTGACGTCGATATGCTTGGTACGAGCATGGTGAACTTGATTCTTCACCAAGTGAATTGCACTTTGACTGTCGCACCACAAATTCGCGCTCTCCTGCTCAATCCCCAAATCGTCTAGAAGACCCCACAGCCACAATGCTTCCTTCACTCCCTCCGCCATGGCCATATACTCAACCTCTGTTGTAGAAAGTGCCACTGTAGCCTGCAACATCGATCGCCAACTAACTGGAGCTCCATGTATCCTGAATACATAACCAGTAGTAGATCGCCATCTATCTAGATCGCCCGCATAATCTGAGTCCACATACCCGTCGATCTGACATGTATCTCCACCAAAACACAGACCCGTATCTGCGGTACCTTTCAAGTACCTCAGGACCCATCTCACTGCTTCCCAGTGTGCCTTTCCCGGATTCTCCATGAATCTGCTGACCACACTAACCGCCTGTGAAATATCAGGGCGTGTACACACCATTGCGTACATTAAGCTGCCAACTGCACTAGCATAAGGGACACGATTCATGTGTGCCTTATCTTCCGCTGTCTTATCTTCCGCTGTAGTGAAAGATTGTTTACCTGAAAGTCTAAAGTGTGGAGCTAATGGTGTCACCACCGACTTTGCACTTTGCATCCCGAACCTCGCGATCACCCGCTCTATGTAGCCCTTCTGACTGAAGAACAATCGCCGATTCGCC